GAAGATCAAATGTCCAATCAAGAAGAATTAGCAACAAGAAACTCTGGCTAGGAACTAACCAGCCAGGAACCGATCGCGCAACAAATATGTAGGAGAAAATGGAGATGAATCGGGCATACTCTGAAGAGGTCGCCGAATGACGTCGCGTTCAGTGCAGGCCATCGCCCGAGTGGAATGCGAATGGGAAGTGACGGGTGAATCAACGGCGTGAGGGTGATATAAATAAATAAATAAATTTATTCTCATAGTACAGTACATGAGGGACGCCAGTTTACAGGCATCATCAAATTGTTACAGAAATAGAACCATATAATTCAATCACAATTCACAGGCGGTAGCAAGATATGCTTTACATGTTCTCTGGAGATTATACATACACTTGATAAATGTTAATCCAAGCAGTATAAAACAGCCTTTTCACTTATATACAATCATTTCTGTGTACAGTTGGAAAAATCTGCTAGATTGTCAGTGAGTGCAACACAACAGGAAATACAGGAGTATTGTCTTCGCATTAACAAAAAAACCAGGTCTTTGGTGGATGGATTATAAGTGCCTGGGAAAAAAATAAAGCTTGAAGTAAATATTCATACATAACTTTGTTGTGTGCAGAGTCCTCGAATTATAGTTCATTGATGTGTTATTTTGAAATCAGTGATGTGTTTATCTCATTTGATCTGCAATGTCATTGTTGGGAGTAAGTACATAAGCTTCGGACGCATTAATTAATGGATTTCTACTGATTACGGGTATTTTCTTAGCGTTAGGAAGGTTTATGAGTTTCAGCTGTTCCGACAGGAGTTGAGAATATCAACTGCTCAGCAACATTATGGGTATAAGTTCATCACATTATCTAAGGAAAGGTGGGTTGCAGTTGGTGAGGGATATATGGTGCCCAACGAGCGTTCATCTGTCCTTGTGATGTTGTGGTGAGTTATACCTTTTTCATGTTGTCGGTTTATGTCCATTTTATTCCACTTATTGTGTTGGGTAGTAGTTTTACAAACGAGATTTATTGTCTGTTTGAGGATACGTATCTTAACCGTTAGTGTTTTATCTAGAATTATAAATATAGGCAAAAAACAACAGGTGTAGTATTCAAGTTTATACACTAAATGGACCTATAATTTCGGAGGCTCTCAGATAGGAACTAGAACTACTATCGTTTGCAAACTCTTTTAGTTTGTCATTAAGCACCATTTTGTTAACCAAATGTTAAAATTCTGTTGGTTATGTGTTAATATCGTTTTATAATATGTGTAGACTGGTTACTTTGCAATGTCAAATGTTTACTATATAAAAGACTTTCATGATAATGTAGTACAATAAGTCCTGCGAACCGACCTTCAGTTCATACTACCTACATTGAACTCTAACTATAGTGTTCTGATGAATCTTGCTCCGGTATTCACAAGACCTACTCTTTTTACTTTTTAAATTTTTAGCATTTTATAAACTAATCTGTTAATTAGGACGCATGCACACATATATAATATGTTCATAAATCTGTATGTGGAGATCTATTAGAAGCACTCACTAAGAAAGCTAGAGAAATGGAATGTGAGGTACGAACGTGTCTGGAACCAAGCAAAGATTTGCTGTAGCCATAACAATCAGAGCCAAACATCATAAAAGGAGGGAGAGTGGCGCATGCTGATCGGTAGATATGGTGGTGGACACTAAGGTGAATCGCCCCATTCTGCAGGAACAGCAATATGCAATTTGATGGCTCGAGATTTCTATGAGGGCTTGAATCTTTATCTTGAAAAAGATAATAATGATCGCCTAGACAGATCATGCTTCTACCTTTAAACATATACCATTCGGTCAGCCTATTACTGAGATGCGACCACGTGGGCTCTGCACAGATTTATGGGGCATCTTAAAAATTAACATGCTTTCCTTTGTCGTATCTTCCAATATCACTTCACAATGTCTCATCTCATTCATTTTCTAATAACGTCTTCACCTGCTCATTATATTCCACTAAACCTAACATTTTATAGCTCTCTATGAATTTGATTCGACTTATTTTATTCCTATTCTATATAGGGTACGGTTGTGCACCAAATACACAAAAAGCTTACTATCCCTTGTAAACGTTGTACTTACCTCAATATTGGTTGGTTATCGCATGCCTACAACTACGGGTTGAAAACAAAACGAAGTCGATTTTCCTGCGCAACCTGGAGGACTGCTGTTTAATTCAATAATGATACGGCCTGGGTCAGACAATGAGTGTATTTATATATATATCAAATTTTTAGCTGTTCAAACATTATTAACTTGTAGACAATCTACTATTTGTCATTATATCATACTTGATCGTGCCTGTAAAATTGGCATGCATTTTCATGTAACTTTATGTTCATATGAAAATATAAAGTATTATTATTATCGTTCATACTAACACGCGACACATGTAAGACAACGCCGCTAATGGGCGCTTTGCCCTGCTTGACGATTGTCACTAGGACTGGAAGCCAATGTAATTGATGGCGTCGGGTCGCCTTACACTTTCAGACTGTCCTCAGGCGGGTATCTGACTAGCAGTCAAATGTTCAAAGTGCGAGTTATTGTAGGCAAACACAGACGAGCACGGGTGTTCATCAATTCGTACTCGATATATACTGATTTTTCGTGCAATAGTCAGATAAACAACCAGCGAAACATTACCCCAGAAATAAATGCTGACTAATCGGCCTCTATCGTTGTGTCATCAGTAACACTGATACTTCTTTGCATTATTATATTTGTAAGCAGATTACCTTTCACTTGCCTGTTTGAACTGTACTTTTCAATATTGGAAGTTGCCAGTCGAAGATACGGAAATCGACTAAGAAGCTATCAGGCGCCCTGATTGTTAACCTTGTTTATGTGTAGTTTCAGTGAACATAATGACCTGATAATGAAACAGCAGCAGAGAAACTACTTATAAAAAAGATTGTTAGTTCTACACATTCGCGAGGCCGGCTACATATTTTCGCCTTGACCGGTAAGCCCGAAAATGAAAGTTTGTGGACGCACTTAACTATTACAAAAGTTCCGGTTGTATGGATGGAGGGCCGTCACTGCGTTCGTACATCACCGAAAGATTATTCAGAGTCGGCTTCTATTTTTAGCCTTCCTCGACAAAGCTCAAAAGCACTAAGCACCTAGAATGAAAAATAAAGACAGAGGTTTTCTCTGAAACAATCTCTGCTCCATCTGGTAGAAAGAAAAGTCGAAATACTGGGAAGAGAACAGCAAATTTATCATGCAAAATGCAATGCATGCGCACATTACGTATATTCATGTAATTAAGCTGGTACAGCTGTTAATGATCCCCAAAGTTTGTATCCAAAAGAGCTCGTCACTCAACAATCGATACTAGCTTCAGCTGTTTAAGTCCACTCGTGTAGCTGAAGGCTCGCTGTCAACCACCCACGCCACTCGGTACGCCTTAATGTTATAATCGTTCGTTGATGCACGGTCCCTAACTGGTCGAGCACCACGATTTTGCTCTGAAAATGCATTTCTTATTTTGAACCATCAATGTGGCATTTCGATTTGCCTTCAGTCTACATAGAAAAAGTACTATAGGAATTGTTGGTATAAGAATTTGCTTTGGTATATATAGTACTTTGCGTAAACGCAAACACCCTCTCATCCAAACTAGTCACAATTTCAGAATAACCGACTTGATTGTCCGCGAAAGGTCCAAGGCTTCATACGTCGTCAAAATTCATCCAGTCAGCTTTATCAGTTTCTCCCAACAACCAACGGTCTGGAGTAGCGACTCTAGTTTGGGCGAATTTTAAATTCCGAACGAGTGGTATTACGAAGTGTGCATTCTAGAAAAATGTATTATTTTAAAGTTGGGGCAAATCAGTATTATATGGCGGGACTACATGTAAGTACGATACTAGCCAGATTTAGATGTACTGGCTGTGTATGATGAACGCTTCAGGATATGACATCTGTTAGAAAGCAGGTGCTATACTACTAATCCGTGCAGCACAAGAAACAGAATCCATTTCTTCATTGTCTGTGTCAATTCAGTGCTCATATACGTTTAGGGACTTGGAGCAAGCGTCATATAAAGTTTTTTGAACTGTGTGCTGCAGACGTCCAGCAACAATCAATTAATCAAAGATATGAACAGGTGAAACTAAGTCTTATCAATGTCAGAATATGTGATATGGTGCAGTCATGGTTTAAGAGGAAACTCCGATTGATGTTGTAGCGCTAAATAATTCCCCAAAATTATTGACCACAGCAATCATCACTCAACGTTGGATGCTGACCCTCACTGTTTAAGTCGACTTGTTTAGCTGAAGGCTTCCGGTCAAGCATCCCCGCCATTTGGTACTCCGTCGTGTCACGTGCGTGCACGATTACTAGCTAGCTAAGCATTCACTTCTACCCGCGACTTGGTCCCGAAATATAATACGTACTTTGGATGACAAAATCTGGTTTTTTGCTTATCTTTGGTCGGGGTTATTAATTTATTACTAGCTATACTTGTTGTCACTGAATATATGTGTATCAGGTAGTACAAAATATAATTACTGAACCGTAGAAGATTTTTCTCTTCAATTTCTCCTCTTCTCCATTTCCTTAATCAAGCAGTGACATCCTCATTTGTCTTCCTTAGTCAATCAACGTTAACAACTAACACGAGTAGTGCGGTATACTGCAAAATATGATACACAAGTGTTTCCTATGTCCTACATTTATCCAGTGCTTTTATAAAACCTAACCTGGAAACGGATATGAAGACACATGAACGTCATTTGCATTATATTTGTTTAGGTTCCTATTAAAGTTTGGCGGGAATTAACGCCACACTGAAGGTGAGTTGTTGTGATACTCAGCGTAATTATAGTGGATTATACGTGACAGGGTTTATGTGAGTCAGGTTTTTTACTCACTGTGGGAAGGACGGTAAGGTGGCTGTAAACTATAACAGCCCGAAAGGAAGCTACCTAATAATGACCTTGGCAAGTCTACATTGACCAATCAGATGCGTCCGTAGCAGAAGTGCGTGATTTAAAAAGAACGTTTCTTTACAAGTAATGCAATGTTTAAAGTGGTTACATGAAATGGGTTTCATATATATGTTTCAAAAAAAACCCCAATTTCCCATAGGGCTCCTCATAGTTAAGCTGAACCAATTTCTGTGTATATATGTACAGAATATATAAATTCATAGAGATAACTGTACATCATTGTGTTTTTTGACTCATGGTTCAAGAGGAGACTCATGAAAAAGGAGACATTATGCGGAGTCTGGGAAAACGGGTAGGGGACGTTTCAATTCCCCCTTTATTTCCCCTATTTTCTCTATTGAACGTGCCACTTTTATCCCCCTCTATGTCGGATGGGGTGCCTGTCTTATTGTTGAATTGTGTCTTCGACCACGAAGAGGGGTTCACTAAAACGTTTCGTGATGGTACTGCAAGATTCCGGTTTGCTAACTATTTTGGCTACTCTAATGGATTCCATAAACAAATGGGTTGCACCAACACATAATGGTGATAAACAGGGAGAATTTAAAATAGAAGTGGGGACATTACTAATTGATTCAGATGAGGATTTGGGTTTAAAAACTACTCAGGATGCTCAGTTTCATGGCATTGCACGACTACGGACCTTATTTGCAGTAGTGTATCCGATATCCAATATCGTTTTTACGAGCTAGTATAAGCCAATTTGATTTCTTTGTGCTAACCTCTTGATTGTGGGGTAACGGTTTCTGATCTTCGGTAAGCCTTTGCGTGGTTCATCCCGCCACTTGACGACTGTCATAGCTTTGGTTGACTCCAAAAGGAGTAGTGCTGAGATTAATTATATATGGTTTGTAGTATGAGGTGTGTTATGACTGTTACTACTGTGAATGGAGTTGATCCTTTCACCAGTTAGCCCTCCGGTATCGTAGTCAAAAAAAAGAGATAATAATAATAATAGATATAATTAGTTAAGTTATTCAGACAAACAGACAGAAAAAGAAATAAAGAAAACTTAAAAACAGATAGCTGAATAAATTTGAAGTTGATATATATATATATATATATATATATAATATATAATGTGTAGTTAGAGTTGTCAGGAGAGTAAGACGGGAGAGAATGTAAAGAAGTAAAACGACGAACTTAGTTGTCTACCCCTGAATGGTGTATGGGATTTTAAGGGGATAGGCCTTGTGGACGCAGTCCTTGTGTCGCTGCATGATTGTCCAGCCTTTGCTTAAAAGCGTCCACAGACGGTGCCATAGCTACATCTACCGGACAAATTATCCATAGCAGACACCAAAATTGACCTTTCCACAGACTAACAGAAAATTCGTATCTGTCTGTTTGTACGTTTTCTTAAGTCCATATAATATACACTAGTTATATGTAGTATTGTTTTGTCTTTATGACAACACCGGATGATCAACAGGTGAAAGGATCAACTCCGTCCTCAGCAACGACAGTCTTTGCACACACCACATACTACAAACCACGTATAAACAATTCCAGCACCACTCCCTTTGGAGTCAACCAAAGCTACAGCAGTCGAGTGATGAGGTACATGGAAGTTAACCGAAGACCGGGAACCTTTACCTTCAAGCAAGAAGCCAGCTGAAAGAAATTAATTTGGCTTGCACCAGCCCGAAAAAATCGATATTGTATATTTTTTAAGGAGCAATAAAAGCCCAGAATTTATTTCCTAATTAATTTCTTAGTGGTCTAAGATTTGTCAATACTTTAGTTTCTGTCCTCCAATCTACACCTGAACAATAATTCGATCAGATCAGGTATGCTGTCTGGGTTCCCTTGCATATGCAGTCTTCAATGACTTCAATTATTATTATTATTTGTTATTCACACAGTAATCAGACACTAGATTTCCCCAGAACTCGTTTGGCGAAGCCAAAACAGAAGGCATAATTTTTGGTTATATCACTGTAACTGGTTGGTTTTGAAATAACAGAGAAGATTTGTAGCTCAGGTGGATAATTTGCAATCAATAGTGTTCTCTGAAGAGCTGGTTGGTTTAGTTGCGGAGCTTTCGTCGTTCCCCACCGGCTGGACAACATCCCCCTTCAGCGCAATTTTTAGCATTAGGTGAAATGATTTAAATTTCTTCATGAGTGATAGATAGAATTGCGTCTCCCGGTAACCATCTTTACATATGTTTTGATTATTGATTTGGATTTTAAACTTTCTGGTCACATGATTTACTTTTTATTAGTTGGTATATTTCGTCTATATTAACGTGTTTGTTAATTGCATATTCGTTTGAGTACCAGGCTTCTAGGAATTCCCTGACTGCACTTTTGGTGGTGTTTCCTCTGTCTAAAATTTCGACATTATCCCAGTTATCAAACTGATGTCCATAATTATCTATATGCATTGATATGAAACAGGAATATATATATCATGTCTTTTCACAGCTGATTTGTGTTCCTGGATTCTGATTCGAAGGGGACGCCCACTTCGACCACCGATGTAATGCCTGTTACAGTTCATACATGCAATTTATTTTGTAAATGGTATTAATTTTATCTCCTTTTTCTGTTGGATGTGTCTTTCGGTTTGCACAATATCGAATGAAGTGATTGGACTGGCTGGCTGGCTGGCTTGTGTGCTATATCTATATCAAACGGTTTCAATAATCTAGCTGTTATTTCAGAGATATTTTCGCTTATATATGGTAGGATGAATTTTCTTGTGTTCTTCGATGATGGTTCCTTGTTGGTGTTGTGATTCGATTTTAAACACTTCTTGATGAAATTTTGAGAGGATAACCATTCTTTTTGAAGACCGTTAGTAGGTATTTTTCTTCCATTCTTTTCAACGCTGGAGTGCTACGGTGTGTTTGAACTCTCTTTTAAACAATGTCTGCTCACAGTTTCTTTTGTGAGTGAGTAATTGGATTATTGCTAGTATAGTTGAGTATTTGATCTGTGTGTGTTTCTAAATTTCCTGTGTTGCTTCTCCTGATTAAGACATGTAAAATGGAATTTTGTTATCTAACTCTTCTTCTCTCGTGGTGAATTTGATGTCTTCAAATATGTTGTTTATTAATTTATGGGCATATATTCTAAACCACATTTCTCTTAATTATTACAAATGTATCCTCAACGTAACGTACCTGTCCACATTTTCGGCTCCCGACCGAAAGCTGCTACCTTGACGTGGTGGTCGGGCTCGAACACTGCAATGACCCAACAAGCTATACTGGCTGGAACTTATGTTCCTGCAGGTCCTACCATGCCAGAAAGGTTGTTTGGATAGCAGTTAGACTAAAAGCAGTTACCCAATCCTATCCTATGATTTCAAATAAATCACAAAATATCATGCCGGATCGGTCGGGGCCCGGATTAACAACGACCGCGCTTTCTGCTGCCGTGTCACAGGGCAGAAGTGATAAATACGCTACTGAGACACACCAAATAAAAAAGAACAAACGAAAACAGGCCGTGTGTGACCGGCCTCAAGCAGTTGTCCCCTGGGCTCTGCGGTCACGCAACCAACTTCCACGGTGTGGGCAGCCAGGAAGTAACAATCGCCCTCACAATCCGAAGTGCACGCGAAACCCCTCTAATCCTCGCTCATCTTTGTCTCCATCTTCATCTCTATTATCCTGCCTTCCTTCTACCAATGCAACTCCTCTACTTGTTGGCTCTTCACTTCCTCTTCACTCTGTGTGCACTGATAACGATGGAAGCCAAAAAGCCACCACCGATGGCCTCCTAAAACCACGCCACCAATTTTATATAGGAGCATTTAATGTTAGGACACTTTGCCAAATAGGACAACAAGCATCACTAGCCAAGACTCTGGCATCCCGAGCCATTGATGTATGTTGTGTTTCAGAAACACGCATACAAGACCCAAGTGTGGTTATTCACCTAACCCCACCTGGCCAACAGGATGAATCTGCAAAATTCACCTTGAGGGTGTCAGGAGATGCGACGGCTAGCTCACGAGGATTAGCTGGTGTTGGGATAGCTTTAAGTACTAGAGCAGAAAAGACACTACTTGACTGGATCCCGGTAGATAGCCGAATGTGTGCTGTCCGCCTGAACGGATCAGTGAAAAGGAGAAAGGACTGCACTACCCGCCGATGCCTTTTCGTAATCTCCGCCTACGCCCCCACTGACTGCAGTTCGGATGAAACGAAGGATGAGTTCTACCAAAAGCTGTCTAGTTTGCTGCGAAAGGCTAAACGCTCAGATATAGTCGTTTTAGCTGGTGACTTTAATGCTCAAGTAGGGAAATTGTGCCAATCTGAGAAGAATGTCGGTGGCACATACGGAATTCCGTGCCAGCGAACCGACAACGGTGACCGTCTCCTACAGTTCTGTTCAGATAATCACTTGTTTCTTGTAAGCACTAACTTCAAACACAAGGAGAGACACTGTTTGACCTGGCGACCCCCATCATCAAATCAACGCTGGACACAAATAGACCACATAGCAATAAGCTATCGTTGGCGTGGGTCGGTAGGAGATTGTCGCTCCTTCTGGAACACGTGTGTAGATACCGATCACGCACTGGTCCGCGCTCGTGTGTGCTTACGACTGAACGGACGTAGGAAACAGCTGGCGGTAAACCCATCACGTCCCCAGCTCGACCAGGGAACTAAGTCCCTATTTGAGGAAGAACTAGCTAAACACATATCTGAGTTTGACAGCTGCGCTCACCCTGAAGAAGCCTGGAAGAATATTCAGTCAGCCATAGATACAGCTGTAAAAGCTGTGAATAAGGTAAATCCAAAGGTGAGTAAAAACCATTGGATTTCGACTGCCTCATCCGAACTGATAGATGCTAGAAGACTTATTCCGGCGAGCTCCGAATTCAACGAGGAGCGAAAGCTGCACAAAAAGAAACTTACGAAAAGTCTCCGCAAGGACCGTGAACAGTGGTGGTTGACAAAGGCGAAAGAGATGGAAAAAGCATCGGCGATAGGCAACACCAGACAACTATTCAGGCTTATCAGGGAAACAGGTGGTAAAAGGCAAATGATAAGCGAAACAATCTTCGAGAAAA